AATAGTTACAATTATTTTAGTTCATGACAATTCCACCAGGTATCATGTACATAACACTATGTCCGGATGGTAAATAACAGTGCACACATTTAGTAGAGGTAAACAACACTAAGTCCACATGGTGTTGTTTACCTCTGACTGGAAGTGGACTTGGTGTTTATTAAAAAGTTAGTAACTTGCAGTAAAATTATTTAGTAATATATTCAAAAGTTCAATAATCCCAATTTTGATAAAAATGGACATAGTGTCGTTTACCTCCGGGGTACAGATATATAATAGTGCAACAGTTGCAGTCAGAATGTATTATGGCAACACAAGCACATTTCCTTTGGAGAACGGTATTAAACAAGTAGACTCCATCTCTCCTAAACTATTCCCCGCTTTGTTACAGACAAGAGAAACAATAATTGGGAAACTGAAGTCAACATAAATATTTCTGAACAATTTCAGATGGCAGCCCTTATGTAGACCGGGTAGATCATGCATGCCAACTTCTTCAAGATCTTCAGAGCTCTTGTGTACGAGTCATTACCCTTCCTATCAGATAAACTACAAGAGACTTTTTAATGCTAAAAAATATAAATTAAAAAGTTTCACCCTACTTTAAGCCTTGTATAAAATCTTCCAAATTAATAAAGTTTAGAGCATCTTATCACTGGATAGGTACTGACGTACCCTGTAAAAATTATTTTTTTAATTTAGCCTATATATATTTTCATCTACAATAAAAATGACAATTTAGTGTACAGCGATTTTTAAAATGCACCATCATTAGAGATTTTCCTATTCAAAACTACTTTTTATTTAAAATGATATACACATATATGTTCAAGTTAAGCAATATATTTAGGCCTCACTATAAAGAGTTAAGAGTAAAAGTTGTAAAGTTTTAACTAAAAATTCAGTCAGATGTTTAACTAAGCTAACAAGGCACACAACACAGAAAATTATATTGAATTGGTAAACATCGTCTGTAGATATATAACAATTTTACTAACTACTTCTCAACATATTTTGAACTATATATATCATAAATCTTATTCTCCTTCTTTAAGTGTCGTCTCCCAATCGGAGGTTGGATATCATCATCACTATCTTTACTTTATCTACTGCTGCTCTAAAGAGTTCTATAGAACTGCATTTAAACCAGTCCCTTAAATTCTTCAACCATGACACTCTCCTTCTTCCTATACTCCTTCCTCCTCTTATCTTTCCCTGTATTATCAACCTTAGCAGTTCATATCGCTGTCCCCTCATTACGTATCCCAGATATTGTAACTTTTTTATTTTTATTGTGTTTATTATTTCGCAATCTTTGTCCATTTCTCGCAATACCGTGTTAGTTTTCTTCTGTGTCCATGCTATTCTAAGCATCCTCCTGTAACACCACATTTGAAAGGACTGTAACCTACTTATTTGTTCTTGCTTCAATGTCCAGCTTTCAAGTCCATATTGCAGTATCGAAAACACGTAGCATCTCAGTGCTCTTACTCTCAGTTCTAATCTAAGATCTTTGTTGCAGAGAATTGTTTCCATTTTTACAAACGCATTTCTTGCTATTTCTAGCTCTTATTTCGGTTGTTTGATCATTATTGTCTGAAATCCAGGTTCCTAGGTATTTGTATTTATCAACCCTTTCTATCGGTACATTTCCCAAATGTTCGTTTGTTGGTATATTTGTTTTCTTTGTTATTATCATATATTTGGTCTTTTCTATATTCATTTTTAGTCCATATTTTTCACAGAAACTGTTTATTTTGTTTGGCAATAATTGGAGTTGTTCAGCAGATCTTGCCATAATCACGCTGTCATCTAGATATATTATGTTGTTAATAGATCTTCCGTTAATTATTATTCCTTCACTTTGAGATAGTAATGCTTCTTCAAACATGGCTTCACTATATACATTAAACAGTAATGGGGACATAATACATCCCTGCCTAACTCTTCTTTTGATTTCAATTTCTGGACTGGGTTCGTTATCTATTACGATTTGTGCTCTTTGATTCCAGTAGAGGTTTTTTATTATTCGTAAGTCCCTGTGGTCTATGTTTTTTGTCTTTAGAATTTGGACTAATTTTTCATGTCTTACTTTGTCAAATGCTTTTTTAAAATCAACTTACCAAACATGCACATCAACATTCATATCCATGCATCTTTGTGTTAACATATTAAAAGCAAATAACGCTTCCCTGGTTTCTAGTTCGTTTCGGAACCCAAACTGACTATCATCTATTCCTTCTTCCAGTTTTTATTTATACGACCATGTATTATTTTCAGGAATAATTTGAGAATGTAACTTATTAGTGATATTGTTCTGTATTCACTGCAATCTTTAGCGTTTGTATTTTTAGGGATAGCACAAAAGGTGGAGTTTAGTAAGTCTACTATATGTAAGTCTAAGGTTTCGTCATTCATGCATTTTAAGATTTCTATAGGGATTTCGTCTGGACCTAATGCTTTACCATTTTTGTTGTTTTTTAATGCCATTTTAATTTCCTCTTTTAAATATCTTTAAAACCATATCCTGTTCTACTTCTATCTCCATCTGTTCTGTTCTATTGTCTTTGAATAGTTCATTGATGTATTCTGTCCATCTCTGTAATTTGTCGTTAGTATTCAACACAAGTTTCCCATTTACATCTTTCAGTATTCCCGGTTTTCTTGTTCTATTGTTGTGAGTTAATTCTTTAATTTTTTTATGTGTGTTAAAACTATCATGTCTTTTCTGGTATTCTCCTATTTCTGCGCATTGTTCTTTCGCTTTCTTAATTCTGTATTTTATTTGTTTATCCACTTTTTTGTACATCTGATTATCTTTGTTCTTATATTGACGTCTTTCTTCCATTAAATCTTATTAAATCTATACTAAATCTTATATAAACTCATACATTTCTGGATAAGTAAACTATGACATCTTTTCATATTTTATATGACGTTTAAGTGACGTAATCATTATAATGACAGACTAGCGTCATTTGTAAAATTATTTTAAATATGATCATATATATATATACCTCCTTTAAAAGTTTTTTTTTTGATCTCTTCATCCAAATTTACCCTATTTTCACTTTCAGTACAAAACCACAAAATATTAATTTCAATTAGAAACAATGGTCGACAGCTACTTTATGAACCATAAAACTGAAATTAATAATTTATTTGGATCCTTTTCATATTTTTTTTATGGGATTCAGAACGTAAACAATAAAAACAGCTTAAGTGCATCATTTGGTCAGACAATTTTAAATAGGACTAGAAAATTTCCGTGTAGGTTTCAAATGAAGTATCAGTTGCCGTATGATTCGACTAGAGGTTTTCGGATAATCTAGCGGGTCTTAGCAGAGAGAAGGTGAAGATGGTCAAGATGATAATTGGTCAGTGTCAATTAAGGAATCTACAACCAGGGAAGAGCGAATGAGTCACAGTGAAATGGAGGAAGAACCTGCCATCTATGTTCTTTGTAAATATGAAATGCTTAGTAACATGAGGCGGGTATACACATACAAAACAAATATTGAATCAGGAGAAATCCTTAAACGCCCCATAAAAAAGTTGCTGAGTTCTATTAAGACCACAGGACTTCACGCAGAGTTTAATGAAAAGGTACAGATGATAGATGGATAGAAAGTTTATTTGACTAAGTTACACAAGGTTTATAGTAAGTTAAAAGGGCATGGTTAATAAGCATGGTTTGGTACAAAGGTCTAAAAATCAAGTGCTAGACGTAAACATGATTTCAAAAGAAAAAGAGAAGAAAAGGAGCGTTTCATAGCATTGTTTGGTACAAAGATCTAAAAATCAAGTGCCGCAGAGAAGTGTCTAGCATGATTTCAAAAGAAGAAGAGAAGGGAGGAAAAATAGCTTTTTTAACATTTTATTTTTCTGAGCTTCTCGATATTTTTCTTTCTTATGATCCACAGTTTTGCACCATATATAAGCACCGTCGAAATATATCAGTCATAAAATAGAGCTGAAAGTTAGATAGCAAGAAACTGGTGTTTTGCAAGTAAAAGATATAGAGCAAGATCCAATCTACGATTGTAGAATCACTTTAAAATCATTAAGTGCTACTCGTTCCTGAATCTACCGCACAAGAGCAACGTAAAAAATATTAAACAAATATCGTCAACTCTACTATATAACACCAAATTATCTTTACGAAAGATGATGAGGAACAGTGATCCTATAGCATATTATTCGATATTGAAAGATATTATTTCTAACTATCCCTGTACACTAAACAGTCAAATATAGATATAATAATGGCAGTTAGTATTCTATCGTCATTGTTATTCTAAAATATTCATTGTGCCCACGCTAAATTTTTTTCCGTAATTTTTTTAGACTTTTTTCGTTGACTTTGTTACTTATGCTAGGCTATATATTAACTACGTTAATTTTCATTTAGAGATCGTGAACAACTAGATAAATTACAATAGGTAACATCAACGATTTTATTGTTATTAGCTTATTTAATCGATAATCGATAAATGAAGATGTGTTTATTATAAAAAATACAAATTAAGGTATAAAGTGTATTAATTTCTATGGTATAAATGAACAGAGGACTCTTAGATTTAATGTCTAATGTAAGAAACGACAATTATGCCAATTATGCTAAAACTTATCGGCGAAGCGATTGGAAGCTCTGGCATTAATTCAGTAGAATATCTGCCAGGAATTAGTGTTATCTGCTATTCAGACAAACCCTCTGCTCCCACCACTGTTTCATTGCTCAAATTTACTCTAACAACGCCGCTAAAACGGGTTCTTTTAAAATCTGGGCAATGAAACTTCACCATAATTGACGTTTCGTGTAACTCATTAGTGATATTGCCCCCTATTTTCATCTTATCTTATGTGAATATGAATATTTATCAAATAAAACTTACGAAAAAAAAAATACGATCAAAATAGTACATTCTGCTTTTACAATTTCAGATATTTTATATCTTACATCAAAATTCGTTCTTATATAATTTAAAATATATTAATTCTGCACTAATAAGTAAGATAAATAATCTTGGCAACCTGGTACATAAATAATATATCAGAATATTCTCCTAAGCCAGAAGTAGAGTAGGATTACAAATCAACTGAAATGGTTACCAATTTGGCATCAGCAGTAGATGAAAAAAATGAAGAAATATATAAACGTCAAAGAATCACTCTGAGATTTATTGAAATTAAGAGGCGCAAGTAGGGAACATAAATTGTTAGCCAGATTTGCACAGGTTGCAGCATTTTAACAAACGTATATGTCAATTACAATAGAATTCCCTTAAAACTACCGAACAAATTATATTATGCCACGTTTACATAACGTTTACGTAGCGTGTTCACACGAGACATTCTTTATTGGAACAAAATCTAATAACCAATTTTCCAAGCATTTGTCCATGTTTTTGACAGGTGCACGCATCTATTAAGTTTCAACTACTGTTGCAAGATAGCCATGTATGTCAAATCGCCAAAAATCCATAGTATTTTGATCAATTTATCGAATAAATTTGTTATAAATTTATTCAAAAATATATTCAACAATACATGATAGTTTCAACCATGTTTTACCATCCATCAATTAATAAAGTACCGGCATGTAAGTAATGTTTTATTTACTGGCTCATTTATTAATATTATTAATTTATTACAATCTAATAGACTATTTTATAACAATTTTTGGGTCTTACCTTGTCTGTTAAAACTTTTTATACTTTTTTATTCCTTTTATTCAATTTGGAAAACCACAGACATGTAATATTGGCATAATTACTGTAATTTATAACATCTACTTTGTTTATCTTTATTAGACAACACCCTAATATGGGTTTATTATTATTTCAGCATTTATTTAACTTTATCGAGACCTGAAGATGCTTTGCATATTATAAAATACATATTGATGTAGAAATAAAAATAAGAACAGCGAAATTCCAAACATACTTATTTTTCCTTTTTCTTATAATCTAAGACTCTGCATGATAAAATGTTATATATGGCCCATAATAGCACACGGGGCTAAAACATGGTCTCTCAAATTAATTCAATCAATCGCATAAAAAAGCATTCTCAAAGTAAACGTTGAGCTATCTAATGTGTATCTCATGGGTTAATCATGTGACAAACGAGAAGGTATTAAGAAGAACTGTAACCGAATGTGAACTGGTACAAACTATAAACTAACAAGAAGTTTTCTATTTGGGACCCATGAGAGCTGATAAATATAAGATAATAAGATCGACTTTGATGGGTAGGATAAAAGGGAAAAGAGAGAAGAGTTTATGCCAGGAAGGAGGACAACGGATGCCTTTTTTGTTTTGAGACTCGTAATAGAGAAATACGACGAGAATACATTTGGTATTTATAGATCTTGAGAAGGCGTACCATACAGCTCCTTCTTAGTGCCGTCTCCCTATGGAGGTTGGCAATCATAATGGCTATTTTTATTTTAGAACTTGCTGCTCTAGACAAATCAATCGATCTGCATTGATACCAAGATTGATACAGCTCCTAGAAAAGATCTATAGAGATTTATAAGAAATATGGATTCCTGAGAAGTATATAAGGTTCGAGAAAGATATATATGAGGAAACTTACACCAAAGTAAGGACTTGTGCCGGATTGACTAAAAGTTTTTCCAGTGACGGTTTGTTTACTTCAAGCTCCTTCACTAAGTCCCTATCTGTTTACTGTTGTTATGGATCTACTGACAGACAGGAAATGACTTAATCCATCAAGCCCAGAACAGAGAGAAATTTGCCATATTGATCGCCAACCTCAATAGAGAAGGCACTTAGGAGGAGGAGGATTTCTAGATAACGGAAAATGGGACACTAGATCGAGAAATTACAGGATAGAGGCTGGTTAGTTTACTGGAAGTGAATGAGCGGGGTACTCTATGATAGAAAAACCGGGGCATAACTGAAAGGAAACATAAGTGTTGTGAGACCTGCGTTGATGTCAGGCGTAGAAATGAAAACTATGTAGGATGAAGGATAGAACTGTTAGAAGTGGAGAGAAATAGAGAAAGAGGAAAATCGAGGGGAAGAAAAAGGACTATTTGCAGAGGACTTGGGAAAAGATTTAAATGAAGATACGAGGGACTGAAATGAGAGGCGAAGAAGAGTAAGGAACAGCTACCCCTGAAAAGGGAAAGGTCGAGGAAGAAGAAGAAGATAGAAGAGACTCCGGGAGAAAGCAACCATTTTTACAATGGTTCAAGGACATTTATGAGTAAATAGTAGACGAATCAATATACCCAAACAGGCACGTTTGTATCAAAAAGACTACACTGCAATGGCTGCTTGATTGATATTCGATAAAAAAACGTTAGGTTTCTCTCATGTGAATCGCTTGGTGTATTGTGTAAATGTATTGAATGAGTCCGTTTTTTTGGAGTACAAGTCTCGAGTGAAAGGTTTTATATATAACGAATGCATCCAGGGGCGGATACACGGGGGTGAAAAAAGGGAAATTCTCCCCTCCTCCTGAAAAACGTGAAATTTCTCCACCCCAGGTCCAAAATTAAAGAAAAACTATCATTTTATATCTTTTATCTAGTGGAAGTTCCTCTCCCCAAATTGAAAGTTCCCCTCATAAGACAAATGTCTAGATCCGATACTGTATGCATCACTGCTAATTTCGAAAATCTATCGAATACTGTAAAACCGTTTAACACGGATAAATAGAAAAAATAAAATAGCGGGGACTGGATGAATCTCGGTCTAGAAATATAAAGTTGTTCAATGAACAAAAAAATTTGACACAGTAATTCGCTATTTGTTGATGTCCTTTTAACGAGTAAAATACGTTGCAAGAAGTTACAGTAAAACTGTTGAACTGGAAGACCATATATTTTTTAACTGTTTTACTATTCAGCTGTTGCTACGATACCTTTAAGGAAACTCTGCAGCCTTATTTTTGATGTACCAACAATTTTTATGTATCGATAATTTTGATAGCGCTGTATAGTGAAAGCTAGGTGAGTCGCAGGTTCGAATCCGACCTAACTGGGGAATGTTTCTAATAAAAAAAAGAGAAATTCTTATATTCATCAAAACGGTACTCGTCCGAGATGCCGTAGTCGTTCGGATGTAGTAAGTGACTCTTTCTATAGACAATCAGGCCGATTCTGCTTAGTAACAAGACATTTACTCAACACATATACATACACTAACCAAAAGGTTTATAACGATAATAATATAATATTGCGTGGTTGATGCGGATAATTACAAAATAAAACAGCTAGTTTCAATTCAGCTGAATTAGTTTTTTGATAGTATATCGTTAATAGTTTAATACGGTTAAAATAGTATCGCAATATCTCTTTTCTACATCGTGCCTACAATTTATGTCACCTACCTACCTTTACCACCAATTAAACACCATATTTAACTAAAGTGCTATAGTTGTTATATGTATAGAGCGAAAATACTTATATGCATGGCAAAGATGTGGATATTTTTTAAAAACGAAGTTATTAATGCGGATTTGTGAAGATAAACAAGATCTTTAATGTAAGAACAGAAATAAGAAAGATAAAATTGAGTAAGGATGCATATATAGTTGACAGAGGAGACAAATCAATATCCACGTGCACGGGTGCACTATGATCTTAAATAATAGAATGTAAGCACCACAAAAATAACAAGTAAGAAAAATCTTAGATGTGCTCCATGGTTTATGTCCAGAATAAGAGTGGAAGGGTGAATGTTGATGATAATTGAATAAACATACCAAATTATGGGTTTTTGTGTCTATACTAAAAAAATATAATAAGAAAATTAAAATTACTATTAAAATCTTTAGGAAATATATTAATTTGTTTCTAAAATAACCTGCTCTTTGATCATTATAATAAATAACAAAATATCTCGTAGACGAAATAAGAACCTATTTCTACTAATTCTCCATTCCACAGACGATAGCTTTCATAACACTGGCAGCTGCCAATGAAGCGTAGGGCTGCCATTCTTTCCTTCTAGTACCGTCTTTGTAATCGGATATTCCTCTTATGATGCAGAAGCTATCTTTACAGTTGCCCAAAATCGATTCTATCACTGTATCGAACTCGCAATCGAACGCCAGAGCACCGACTTGGTTGGCGAATTGTTGTCGCAGTCGGTCGTCTTTCACCACTTGACGACCAGACGCTATTGTTGAAAGATGGATGCGAGGACAGCCATCAAGTCTAAAATAAACAATAATTATTACTAATCATCCGAAATATTTTATTCTTAATCGTAAGTAAATAAATCTACTGACAATTAAAACCAATTTTTGCACTAAAATTTATTTGTAAAAAAGTATTTTTGAAGTGTGTATGTTTTAAGCAATTCCTAGATGAGCGCTTTCGGCTTTACAAAGCCATCATCAGAGCGATGCTACAATAAAATGTTCTAATATGTACTAATTGGTGAAGATTATAATTTTTAACTTACGTCAATTTATAAATACCACTACAGTGGAGAGATCTCATTTCCTTATATTTCAAAATTATGATTTTTTAGTTGTTGAAATTCTTAAAAAACATATAAAAAACCGACACTGGGCTTCACAGACACGTTAAAAAATTGAAAAAAAATTTTTTGTCATGGTACGGGTGTAAGAACCCGACCATTGATTGATGTGAGGAGGTAGACAGAATAGAACTAATGAAATCAAATATCGGTCCTTTTAAACGATTTTTCAAAAGTGACAGTTGACAAATGTCATATATAGTAAATAGAGATTGGTTTTTTTAAATTCTTACAAAATTATTTAATAGTTTGGAATTACTAATAGTCATCAAAGACTTTCTATACTAAAACAATTTTTAATTGAAGGTGATTACTTGGCAACATCGTACTTAACGAAGCCATTAACGATAACTTTTTAACGAAATCGTATTGAAATTATCAATTTTGCAGAGGCGTACCTAAAAAACACATAAGTAATTTCGTAAAAATTAAATCTAAGACCGATTTAATTATTAAATTACCATGTCTCTTTTAACAGGTATCTTATAGTTGTCTAACAAAATAAAATAAATTTTTATTCTTATTAAAGAGTATCTAATACAGAACTTCAAAAAACAGAAAACTTTGGAAAATAATTTTTTTTCATTAGACTAAAAATAATCTGCAATTTTAATTACACATCCTTACACATAATTCTCTATTTATAAAATTGCTGTGTGCTGTAAACGTTATATTTGTTTTTTTTTTAACTTATTTGAAAGTTTGCTTGTGTTTATTTGTTTATATAAATATGAAAATATATTATGAAGTTCATATAAATTAAAATGAAGTAAGCTAAACTATTATCATATGAATGCGTTTATATAGCAGTGCATTTGTTTATTTTAGTAAATTCTCGAAATATGAAATGAAGATGGTACTAACTACTAAAGAGTTAATAGCTTTGTTAGAAGAAGACTAAGATTGTGAAAATGCCACGTAATGTGGTTTATTTGCCGCCGACATTAGATTAGAAAGTTTCTGATGTAGAAGACATTGATCTTCTTCTTCCTTCTATGTTAATATAGGTCTAATTCCTGCTTTATAGACTCTTGTTTTTGTGTCTTGTCTTAGGTGTTTGTTCTTCCAGATTGTGTCATTAAGAGAACCCGCCGCTTTACTTGCTTTTAAGCTTTGCTGTCGTACTTCATCTTCAACATCTCCGTAAATGGTTATGTCTATTTTCAGATATCTAACCCTTGCTTCCGGCTTTATTATTTTCCCATCAATTTCGATTTTACACCGTAGTGGGTATTTAAATGTCATACTTTTGTATTTTTACGCTGATATTATCATATTGTATTTCTTAGCTGTTGTATTGAAGATATGTGTTAATCTTTAAAGCTCGTCTTCTGTCTTGGCGATTAATGCGGCGTCGTCTGCATAACATAATATTTGGATTTCTTTGTTCCCACTTCTGTAGCCATGACTTTTACGTACTGCTTGTATTATTTCGTCTATTAATATATTAAAGAGAAGAGAGCTTAACGAGTTACCCTGTCTGACTCCGCTTTGTACTGGTATACCCTGTGTCGTTTTCCATTTATCTTTACCTGTATTCGATTATGGAGGTAGATGCTTTCGATGGTTTGTATAATATTGATTGGTATGTTCCTTTTATGCAGTAGGTTTAAGACGTCTTCCACTTGGATGCGATCGAAAGCCTTTGTCAGGTCTATAAAACATAGATATGATGGCCTTTTCTGTGATTTGTCTTAGTACAAATACGGCGTCTACGCAGTATAATCCGGATCTGAATACTTGTTGTTCATCTGATAAAGTTGTTTATTGATTTTGTTGTTTAGGACTTTTGTGGTAAGCTTAAGTCCGGTGTTCAGTAGATTTATACCTCTATAATTGTTGGGGTCTTCTTTATGTCCTTTATTGACCATTGGTATCATTACGCTGTTTCTCCATGCGTTTGGTATCTTGCAGTGCAATATTAGTTTTTCTATAAGTTTTGTCATCTCTAGGATTAAACTTTCTCATCCGTATTTTAGAAGCTCGTTGGTTATTCCGTCTGGTCTTGATGACTTTCTATTTTTGAGTGAAATTATGACTATTTTTACTTCGTGAAAACTGATTTCTATTTCGTTTCTTAGTTCAGGTACGTTATTGTGTTGATTATTATTTTCCTTTGCTTTAATCAGTTCCGTCAGATATCTTTCCCATTCGTTTGCTGGTATATTATTGTATTCCTTGAAGAGATTGATGATAATATTATTTGTGAAGAATCAATAAAATCGGATATTGCAGGTACATATGAAATACAAGATTGGGAATTCTAACGATTCTGATTATGATATTCCTCTGAACCACAGATAAAACTTCTAAAGAAAAAACTAGGCAAAAATAGTAAATCCAAATTTATCTCAAGTTGTAATAACGGATATTCTTTCGTGCTCAGTAGTAATTCAACATCAGTCTGATTGATATTTAGACAATATAAAAGGCAACCATGTAGGCAAGTCATATATTGAAGTTTTTTCACTCTTTTTGATAAAAAAGTAATTGAGAATAACCGTCACAGTTTTAAAATAAATAACATAGATTTAAAAAAATTATTAGCATATGTATATTATCTGATTTACACTCTGCTTCAAGTTGATATGCATTGGTCAAAGGATGAGGATAAAGAAGTGCATATTATGAGAGAAAGCATGAGCCGACATAGATTTAAAATTTTAATTTATAATGGTGAAGAAACTGCTACATCTGTGTCAGTACATGGGCGTTAATCTAAATTTGCTTTACCAGATGAAACCAGATTCGACAATATTGGCCACGTTATAAAAAGAGACGATAGTGCAAAAATGTAGGATGTACAAAAGTAATACTATTTATTTATGTAAAAAGTGTAGAATGCATCTACACCCCGAATATTTCGAAAATTTTTACCTTAAAATTTAATTTACGTTTAAGATACAATATGTTCATTCATTAAAAATTGTACTGTTTTTCTTAAAAATGAAAAAAAAATCTTTTTGGTTGTAATTTATTCCTAAGTTGTGTTTTTAATCCAATCTAATAAATTAATTGTCTAATTTCTCTTTGTATATTGAGCGGCCGTTAACGGTTTAATGCTATATAAAGAATAAATTGGAATCAAATTTACTTTACTTACCTCACAACTATTTTAAAGTTAATAATAAAGTATATTCAATAAATATATTTTGAATAATACACTACGCCTATGCACAAATGAATAAAATCTGGAAGATATCATATTTCATCAACTTCAATAAACTAAGATATCATATTTCTCTAATTAACATTCTTTCTAAAAACGTAAATATATATAGACCAGCAAAATATTGATAATTTTACCGATGTTCCAAACTATTCTATGAACGTGTCTCACTATACACTCGTGAATCGCACCAATTTATATTGTTACGGGGGCAAATTTATCTTACATGGGTTACAAATTTACATATTTACATGGGCGAAGCATACACAATAAAAATGACCCCGGTAAGAATTTACTAATGAAATTTTTCATGGTTGCCGCTACCGTTTAGTTCAATTTGTAGATTAGTCACCTTTAATTGAAAATTGTCCGACTATAAAAATTAAGTTTTTAAAATAAATTTTATGTGTTCATCACATCATACAGAATGACATTAGTTTGTAAATTCACTCAAGTCATTGCTCAAGGTCAATGTATGTTCAATCTGACAGCCATCCTTAAGAAACAAGGGCTCAAATTGTTACAACAATAATATAAAGAAGAAACATGGTATTAGTGTTACATTATCTGATACTTAAGTGTATTGAGAATTGTATCTCTTGATGGAAATTTGTAAGAAATTTGCATACAAAATTTTTTAAGAATATATTTTCATGTTTCAATTAAGAATAACTGTCAAATGAAAAAGTTATTCTTAATTGAAACATGAAAATATATTCTTAAAAATTTTTTTATGCAAATTTCTTACAAATTTCCATCAAGAGATACAATTCTCAATACACTTAAGTATCAGATAATGTAACACTAATACCATGTTTCTTCTTTATATTATTGTTGAACAATTTGAGCTTTTCTTTCTTAAGGATGGCTGTCAGATTGAACATACATTGACCTTGAGCTATGACTTGAGTGAATTTACAAACTAATGTCATTCTGTATGATGTGATGAACACATAAAATTTAATTTAAAAACTTAATTTTTAGAAAGTCTTTGATGACTATTAGTAATTCCAAACTATTAAATAATTTTGTAAGAATTTAAAAAAACAATCTCTATTTCCTATATATGACATTTGTCAACTGTCACTTTTGAAAAATCGTTTAAAAGGACCGACATTTGATTTCATTAGTTCCATTCTGTCTACCTCCTCACATCAATCAATGGTCGGGTTCTTACACCCGTACCATGACAAAAAAATTTTTTTTCAATTTTTTAACGTGTTTGTGAAGTCCAGTGTCGGTTTTGTATATGTTTTTTATATGTTTTTTAAGAATTTCAACAACTAAAAAATCATAATTTTGAAATATAAGGAAATGAGATCTCTCCACTGTAGTGGTATTTATAAATTGACGTAAGTTAAAAATTATAATCTTCACCAATTAGTACTTATAAGAACATTTTATTGTAGCATAGCTCTGATGATGGCTTTGTAAAGCCGAAAGCGCTCAGCTAGGAATTGCTTAAAACATACACACTTCAAAAATACTTTTTTACATTTTCTT